TCACGCCTGTAATCCTAGCTCTCTGGGAGGCTGAGCGGGCGGATTGCTCAAGGTCAGGAGTTCGAAACTAGCCTGAACAAGAGCAAGACCCGCTCTATATAAAAAGAAATTAATTGGCCAACTAACATATATAGAAAAAATTAGCCGGCATGGTGGCACATGCCTGTAGTCCCAGCTCTCGGGAGCTGAGGCAGAGGAGGATTGCTTGAGCCAGGAGTTAAGGTTGCTGTGAGCTAGACTGATGCCACGGCACTCACCTAGCTAGGCAACAAAGCAGACTCTGTCTCAAAAAAATAAAATAAAATAAAATAAAAGCCCAGGCTACTGTGGGCTTGAATCCGGCCGATTAGTTCCTAACTGTGCAACCTGGGGCAATTACTTAAACTCAGGCCCAATTACTTAATCCCAGGAGCCTTAGTTTCCTCATCTGTAAAATGGGAAATATATTATAATAGCACCTACACCACCTCTAGCACCATAGCATTTTGATGAGCAGTAAACATAGAAAGTATTAGTAACATGAGTCACTTGGTACATAATTAGGCCCGATTTACAAGCAGGCATAAAACAAATTTTTAAAGCTTCATTTATCCTGCTTCAACGCATTTTTCTTTCATCTGAATTACGCTGTGATAATGATGTATCCGGAAAAAAATTAGGCTCTTTAAAACTCCTGAGGAAAAAAAGGCATGTGAAGATAGACAGAACATGAATGCCAGAAAGTTGAGGCATGGTGAAGCCTGCATAGAGTGGTAACGCGGGACCGCTATTCGTTCAACTTCTTACTGTATCTGAAATTCTTACAATAAAATGTTAAAAGAAACACAGAGTGCCCTGGCAATTAGCCTCTGGTACTCCAATCTCACAGTCATCTCCTAAAACACATCTCAGAACTCTACATGCCAATAAGGCAGCCAGTTCGCTGCAAAGGATGCTTAAAACCCTGCAAATGAGTCCCGCCTGGTGTAGGAGCCTTAAGACATTTACCTCATGTCCTTGACAAAAAAGGTTTTATATAACACACTTGTGAGAGTGCTTCTTCTTTGAGAGGTAGCCAGCATTACGTTTGACAAATATTTCTGCCAACAATTCCTAAAACGGGAAAAGTTTGTATTATTGCACATGTTTTCTTTTAAGGGAGAGAGAAAACATGCAGACAAAGCAGGACTTAGGAAAGAGATAGAAGATACATTGGAGCTCGTGCATATTTTTTTTTTTTTTTGAGCCACGAGTCCACTCTGTTAGCCCTGGCTACGAGTGCTGTAGAGCATCAGCCTAGCTCACAGCAAGCTCCTCCAAAGCTCGCGGGCTCAAGCAGATCCTCTGGCTCCAATATATATATATATATATTTTTAGTTGTCCAGCTAATTTCTTTCTATTTTTTTTAGTAGAGATGGGGTCTCATTCTTGCTCAGGCTGGTCTCAAACTCCTGAGCTCAAACGATCCGCCTGCCTTGGCCTCCCAGATTACAGGTGTGAGCCACCATACCTGGCCAAGACATTACTTTTCATCATATATAAGTGATAAAATAACTATCCTAGCTAGACATAAGATTATGAACTAAGTTCAATGTCTGACTTTTTGCATTCTTATTCCAACCCAATTAATTTATTAATATGTGGATAAACATTCCCTCATGAAAAGCACACAGGAGGTACAAAAGAATCCAAGTGACCTATTAGAATCATTACCAATGCAATTACTACCTTGTGTTAAATCATGAAAAATTTGCCCTATGGGATCAGATAAGGTGGTAGCTTCATCAGAATCACACTGAGCTTCTATCCTGAGATGGGACACTAAAGGACTAATTAATGCTCAAATTCCAGCCAAACTCTGGCTGTAGACAAACAAAATAAAAAATTTTTAAAAAATCATGAAAAATTATACAATCACTGAATATGGTTGAACTATGGTTCAACTTACGATTTCTCAACTTTATAATGGCGCAAAAGTGATATGCACTCAGTAGAAACCGTACTTCAAATTTTGCATTTTAGTTCAAAAAATTTTATGGTAACTTTATCAAATAGGCTTTGTATTAAATGATTTTGCCCAACTGTAGGCTAATGTAAGTGTTCTGAGCACATTTACGGTAGGCTAGGCTAAGCTATGATGTTTGATAGGTAGGTGTATTAAATACAATTTTCATTTATGATATTTTCAACTTAAGACAAGCATTGGGATGTAACCCCTTTATAGGTTGAGGAGCATCTATAATTGGAAAAATTTCAACTACATGTGAATCTGCCAAGAGAGAAATTTTAAAATGCTATAAGTGGAAATTTTTCTAAGTGTTCTTTACTTATTTTTGACAATTTCCATCCCTGTATTTATGGCAGATACAAATTGAAAACCAATTTAAAATCATTTAATGAACATTCTAGGCAGCCTTGTCCAACAGAACTTTCTGTGATGATGAAAATATTCTACACCTGCACTGTTCAATATGGTAACTACTAGCCACATATAGCTACTTAGCACTTGAAATGTGACTTGGATGATCAAAGAACTGAATTTTAAATTTTATTTAATTTAAATGAATTTAAATTTAGATTTTAATGGCCACATGAGTATAATAGCTATTGAATCAAACAGCATGGCTGTAGGATATCATACTAGCCAAAAGCACTACTGAGCATAAATGTTTAAGCAGCTGAAGAAATTAAAATGACTTTGGTCTTAAATCATAATTAAAATAACCTCTAATGTTAAAAATCTAAGTACCGTGTTTCCCCAAAAACAAGACCTACCCATAAAATAAGTCCTAGCAGGATTTCTAAGTATTTGCACAATATAAGCCCTACCCTCAAAATAAGACCTAAGTGATGGGCATAGCTATGCAGCGTATCTGTACAACCCATGTATTTCATCGCGGAGCAGTAAAGAAGATGAGCAGCTCTTCTCGTCTGCCCCATGAGAGCTCTATTGCTCGACATGAGAGATTGGGGCCCATGGTTCTAAAGGAAACAAAGTTGCAAGAAATTCAGGATAGAATTTGGGGTTTGGAGAGTTATGATGATGTTCCAGAAGAAGACGACTTAACTATATTTGAATAAATATAGATTGTTGTACTGTACTTAAAAAAAAAAAACATATCCCCTGAAAATAAGCCCTAGGGTGTCTTCTTGAGGAAAAATAAATATAAGACCCTGTCTTATTTTCGGGGAAACACGGTATCAATTATTATACAATCTTATCTATATAATATTGTAATGTTTTACACATCTTTTGTTGTAGCACTTTTTTATCAAAAAGAATATTGTTTAGTTATTATTAATATTATCATGTGCCAATGTATAGTAATGCAAGCTCTTTGTGTGTTCAGTGAAGGAACACAGTGGACTCTGCATTAAGGTCTATATTCCCTTCCTTTTTTTTATTAGCAAAGCCACTGACCAGGTGGCAATCTTTTAAAAAATGACTGGAGCAATAGGTTTAAGAGGTAAGAAGAGGCATTTTATAAAGGAATTATGGGGACATAAACTTACCATGACCATTTTCCTTTGTTCATATAGCTTCTGTAATTGGTAGGACTTTTCCTCTGCTTTGATGTAACCTTTCTTCACATCATCGACAGCCTGTCACCAAAACAAAAGTAGGGAAGAAGGGAATGTAAAAAGCATTATCAAGTACATTTTTGAAAAAAATAAAGAGACACAGATGCATTTTCAGAAAAACTTATCCACTTGGACCACCATCATCATCACCAGTGAATTCTGCCACATGGGTATATTTATTGGAATAACTAGCATTTAAAGAGTATCTGCCACGTGCTCAAGGATTGCTCTAAGTATATGTGAGGGATTTGGTTTCTTGTGTCAAGAGACTGAAATTCTGGTTAATTTATACATGTGAAAACAAGAGAACACTGAAAGACAGTGTATAATAGTTAAAGGTAACAATGAAATAGCAAAAATGTACAGTATAGACAGTAAATGATATATATATAGTCATAATAGGAACACTTACTCCTAATTACAGTTAGCAGGGAAACCTTGGGTGCACCCCCAAAGGATATACTGAGTAACAGAAACTATAGGCTAAAGTCCGGAAACAGGAGTGGGTTTGAGCTTAAATACATTCAGGAAACAGACTTGCCTGATTTCAACAAAGGGTACATGTTAGGAGACAATGAAAGATAATGCTGAATAGGTAGGCTAACAACAGATTATGAAGGATCCGAAAAGCAGGCACAGGAATTTAGACTTAAGGAAATAGACAGTAGGGAGCTAAAATAAGCAATAAAAAACTGCTTCTTTTTTAAAAGAAAGATTGATTTGTGTCTGAGTATCAAATGAGTTAAACTGAGGAGAGAATGAAATAAGGAAGATCAATGATGTTGTGATACTTAAGATAGAAATCATTTTCAAGAGTCTTTTAAGGGAAAATAGGTAACAGAATGAGTTCAGGATTGCATTCAAGAGACTAATTCAACTTCGAGCTCTGCCACGTACCAATGTGCACTTGGGTAAGTCACTTAAACCCTCTCAGAGTCTATAAAACTGGAATAATACTCATCTCATAGACGGACAGTAAAATGAGAATAAATGATGTTAAGAGTTTTATAAAGTTATTAATATCACAGTTATGAGTATCATTTAGCTATTAAATTCTTCTAAGAACCATACAAGGATAGGAATATCCTTCCAGGAACTGACTAATGGAGATTGTGCCAGTTTCTCCCCAATCCTGGCCATTCGAGTGAGGGCTCTGTTAGGCACACAGAATTATATTCGCAGAGGGGATGTTCAGTAAGAACTGCCACACAGTGTCAACATCCTGAAGAACCTAAACACTTCACTATTTATCACCAAAAAAAAGGTGCTGCTCCAGGACAAAAGCTGGGGGAGATGTAGAGAGGAGAAATAAACAAATACTGGTCTATCCAGTTTCCAATGTAACTTACAGCATTAGTTAGCTAAGGGAAAAGGCTTTAACATTCTTTTTCTGATCAAATAAAAACACTGTTTCACTGTTTTGTGTTTATCCCAAATATCTAGAACAGTGTCTGACTCATAACAGTACTTAAATATTTGTGAACACTTCCCCAGGACAGAGGTGGGTCAGAGTGATTATTTACTCCAGCAATTCTAAGTGAGCTCTTTTTCATGTGAGGCAGTAAAAATGTTATCGCCTCTTTCATTTCTTTTTCTTTTTTTTTTTTTTTGAGACAGAGTCTCACTCTGTTGCCCAGGCTAGAGTGCCTAGCTCACAACAACCTCAAACTCCTGGGCTCAGGCTATCCTACTGTCTCAGCCTCCTGAGTAGCTGGGACTACAGGCATGTGCCACCATGCCCAGCTTTATATATATATTATATATATTATATATATATATAATATATATATATATTTATTTTATGTTTTAGTTGGCCAATTAATTTTCTTTCTATTTTTAGTAGAGACAGGGTCTCGCTCTTGCTCAGGCTGGTTTCGGACTCCCGACCTCGAGCCATCCACAATCCACCCACCTCAGCCTCCCAGAGTGCTAGGATTACAGGCGTGAGCCACTGCGCCCAGCTCACCTCTTTCGTTTCTAATCAAGATCATATTGCTTGACTACCCCTGAGTGGAAAACATAAATATCCCCACACTAGATTCCTTTATTCCTTAAACTGTTTATTTTAAAGTAAAAGTTGTACATAGTTTAAAAAACAGGCCAGGCGCAGTGGCTCACGCCTGTAATCCTAGCACTCTGGGAGGCTGAGGTGGGCGGATCGTTTGAGTTCAGGAGTTCAAAACCAACCTGAGCAAGAGCAAGACCCTGTCTCTATTAATAGAAAGAAATTAATTGGCCACTAATATATATAGAAAAAATTAGCGGGCATGTGGCACATGCCTGTAGTCCCAGCTACTCAGGAGGCTGAGGCAGGAGGATCGCTTGAGCCCAGGAGTTTGAGGTTGCTGTGAGCTAGACCGACGCCATGGCACTCACTCTAGCCTGGGCAACAAAGTGAGACTCTGTCTTCAAAAAAAAAAGAAATTACAAAGGAAAAGACAGATAAATAGTATTACATAAAATGTTAAAACTTCTCTAAAAACAAACTCAATAACACTAAGATAAAAATAATGGAATATAATAAACATAAAAATGACAGAGAAAGATTTAAAAGTTTAAGAGTCAAAATACACCAATAGTTTACATAACAAAAACACAATGGATAACTAACAATATCTTATTCAAAAGAAAAACACACACAAAAAAGTGATATCACAAATGTTCAGACAGCATCATTTATAATCACAGACTCAAATAATACCCTGGCACTAGCTGGGTGTGGTGGCACATGCCTATGGGCCTAGCTACTCAGGAGACTGAGTCAGGAAGATAGCTTGAGCCCAGGATTTTAAGGCCAGCTTGGGCAACACAACAAGATCCCATCTCAAACACACACACACACACACACACACACACACGGAACTAATTAGAGGGAATGATTAAACAACATATAGTAGTATTCAGTCATAAATTATATATAAAAGAACTGTGTGAAAAAGCAGGAAAAAAAACTGTATCTACATTAGGATTATAACTATGTAAAAATTACGCATTCATATAAAGACCTAATGCCAAATATAAATACTTGTAGGGAAAGTTCATAAAAGAAGACTTCCAGGCAGGGATGACAGACTAAAAACAAATATCTATTAATATTCTTACTTCCTCCTAAAACCCCACTAAAGTGTCAGTAAAAAAAAAAAAAAATCCCCAAGATCGGCAAGAATGCAAGAAAACAATCAAAAGTTTGTAATCTAGAACACAGATATATGGGTAAAAACTTGGAAAACCTGAAAAAATTGATTTCTAAACTGGTAGCAGGGAAAGTGAAGAAACACTTCAATTTATACCACAAAATTCCCCAAAACCCAGGAATTGGTAGCACCAGGTAATAATCTATGAGAGAGGTGGTAGGATATGGCTAAAGTAAGGAAGACTGGCTGAAAGCCTGTTTAAGAAACAATAAAATTCTCAGATCCTCTCCTTTATTCCCCGCAGCCAGATCACTGCCCTCCCCATTGCCAGCAGCAGACTGCAGATTTAGTTTCTCTGCGGTGAAACTCATAGGCAACAGGATGTACTCACATGCTAAACTCCTAAGCAGCTATGCAGGCTCTCAATCTTAAATTTGGGCAGATAACTATGTTAGAGGAATGTCTGTAACATGAACATCAGAGACCAAAAAAAAAAAAAAGAAAACAATAAAAGGAGGGATAAAACAGAGAAGAAAACTTCAAAATTAAAAAATACTATTTTTAATATCCTCAGAAAGTTAAAAAATATTATAACAAGAACAGAATACTATATAAAAAAGGATATTCAGAGAACTAAAGAAGTCTTTAGAAATTAAAAATATAATAGCACACATTAAAAACTCAATAGACAAACTAGAAGATAAATGAGTAAGTTTTATAGAAAATAGAGCAAGAAGACAAAGAAATCAAAAATGTGACAGAGAAGATAAGAAGATGACAAAGGGGAAACCAAAAAAATTCCATATAGGAACAGTAGGAGTTCCAAAAGGAAAGAACAGAAAATGAAAGAGAAGAAATTACCAATTTAATAATCTAAGAAAATCTGCCAGATCAGAAAGACACAAATTTCCCACAGAAGGCCCAACACAATACATGAAAATAGATCCACAGCTAGGCACACGATGCTGAAATTTGAGATTAATGGAAACGAAAAGATCTCATAAGCTTCTGGAAGAAAAAAAGATCATATAAAATGGTACAGAAATAAGAATGGCTTTGGACTTCCTAACAGCAACACTGGAAGCTGAAAGATAATTCTTTACAATTTCTGAAGGAAAAGAATTTTCAACTTAGAGTTAGTTCTATACCCAATTCTAGTATCAATCAAATGTGAGGTAGAATAAAGGCATCTTCAGACATTCAAGATTTTCAACTTAGAGTTAGTTCTATACTCAATTCTAGTATCAATCAAATGTGAGGTAGAATAAAGGCATCTTCAGACATTCAAGATTTTAAGATGTTGACCTCCCATGTACTCTTTTTCTCAAAAAGCTCTTGGTTCCCAGACCTATGCAGAAAAAAAAAAAAAAATAAGAAAGGAAGAAGGAAGAGAGCAAGCAAGCAAGCAGCTCTGAGACTGTATCTACCAAACTAAGGGAGTAAAGCAAAAAAAAGAGACACGTACTCAACAACGGAAATAGGACATCCCACACCAGCGATGGTGGCGGTAAAGGGCATCCCAGAATGACTGCTGTGTGCCAGAGTAGAGGGCCACCAGTTCAGACTGGAGTAGGTGAAAAGGCTCCACAAGAGATTTCTTCAGGAGGTGGAAATTCATGAAATACCTGATGGGTCTGAATTGAATGTCTTTAGAAGAGATTTAGACAACCGGTAAAAAGTATGAATGGAGCTAAATTAATTATATGTACACAGAAAATTAAGTAAAGGAAAAAGGAGAGCAATAATTAGCTGAGGAAACTCAAAATGTTATAAAGGAAGTGAAAAGTAAAGATAATATTTATTACATGACGGCTGTAAATTTCATTATTTACAATCCTAATAATATAAACATTGAATACTGACCTAACAAATAGTATAATTTAACTA